CGAGCGTCTCTCGAGGTTGCAGGCTTCAGGGTTTTGTGCAATCTCAGCAGAATTTAAAAATATCAGTTCTTCATGGGCTTCCCTTCCTACTGGAATACTAAGCATATGGTTGATATCGCCTCAATCCGATGGGGCCCTTCTCTAGAGGTCTGGAAGTCTTTCCGCGATGCGTTTTTTACCAGTAATGGTCGATTCAGGTAGAAAACGACCAACAGTAGAGAGCTTCGCGGGTTACTCCACCCCTACTGGTACCGCCCCGCCGGATGGCTACGATATCAACTGTGCTTACCCCACGTGGCTAGCCGAGTTCTTGAGCACACTGCCATATATTATGCCCCACCCCTGGTCAACTACTGTCTTACACGACCCTAATTCCTAGTGTGAACGCCAACTTACCTTGATCGAATGCCAATGACCATCGCAAATAGTATTTGTTGTCGGCGGAGTATAAACCAGCGATTCAGCTCCCGAACCGCTATCGACAGTGAACTGAAAGAGTAGCTCAGTTGGGTGGGAACAGACCTTTGATGAAAATTCATGAAATTACCTTCACAGCTCCGTCGAGGATTTGTACAGTCAGGTATTCGACAACACCAACGGAGAACAGCACACCATTCTTTGTACGTGGACGCACCTCCAACTCGGCAGAGAATGACTGGCCGACCTGCAAACGTGAAAGAATGAAGGAATGATGGCTTAGAAACGCTAAGAAGGAGAAACTTTCTGACAAGTTGAGCGGCTCGGTTAAGTAGTAAGACAATCGTCTGGGCGCCGTTTTGAAAAGCGTAACGTAATGGGCGGCGACAGGTGGCGACCTGGTTGGTGGCACCTACCTTGCCCTGGGATGCAGTGGATTCTCTTCAGAGGAGGGCATCATGCATTGCCATTGATACATCGCTCTAGTTGGCATAAGGAATGAAAAGACAATGAGGGGAACAGGCACGACAACTCCAGCTCCCAGCGGTCGCGGCTTCTTCGCCATGCCCTCAAGCGTACGACCGCACGATTGTCTTGCACGGCTACCAGCTGCCTCACTTTGACATCTTTAGCTTTTGGATCTTGGTGCAAATGCCGCGCACGTTATGCTGCTGGCAACGCTGCCGTTGCCGTAGCGTGGATCGTTTAGGATACCTTTTTTGCTGCCCGAAATCAAGACCTGACGCACAGTTTGAACCCGCTCAAGCTGCTGCTCGAGCAGGATTTCCTATTGTTAGTATCTAATACAAGCGGAATGACCGTCGCTGGTGAATGCGAAGTCGCAGCTAACCGCGATTCAATGGAAAAACGTGTACACCTCAGTCGCGACGCAACCGCACGCTTCGATGTAAATATTCCAATCCATTTTTATTCAGCACAATCCTTACTCCACCTTTCGTGATTGTATCCTCAACTCAACCTTTGTCACCATTTTCTACTTATTTCAGTTCCAAGAATCGCTCCCACTCCAGTCTTTCATTGCTCAACCTTTCAATTTTGAGGAATTGAGGGAATTACCTGGAACTCCTTCTTGAGGATAGCGTATCCTCCTTCCTTGCCAAAGTACAATCCGCTTTCCGTTCTAGCGCTGCACTCGCCGATACCATGATCTCGAGCTATCGTGTCGAACTTCTTGTCATTCAGCTTGAATTCTCTGATGCAACCACCGAATTCGGATCTCACACCCTGGAAATAGACCGTTAGTGAGGGGGCGAACAAAACATTACCTAGAGCGGTTGCGAATTGGGTAATAATAGAGTTTATCTCGGACTTTGGCTTACCGGTACAATAGTTCTTGCGTAGCTGGCCAGCTCGTTCGGTATACCACCCAGATAGAGCGGTGGCTGAGTGTCGATGGCGTCAGTGCCGGCTGAGACCACAGCTTCAGCGGATTCATCATCAACGACCAGAAGGCCTTCGCTTCCACGTCGTGACGCCTTGACCGAGTGCCATTCGCCGTTGAGAATCGATCGGTTCGAGTGGATGACGGTCTAAATCAATATGTCGATTGAATACAAAGAGAGATGGGCATCATGCCAACAGAGCACGACCTCTTGTTGGGGAATTTTGCAAGATCACGCGTCCCCCTCGAATTTTCCTCCTCTGGAACAACCCCTCACCCTTATCCCATCTTCCTGAACCTTCCTAGCCACTTTTCGGAGCCTTTCCCTAGCGAGAGAGGGCTGAGGTATGTAGCGCGTGTGAAATAGGAAGAACCGAGAAAAATCACTCAAAAACATTTTCTCAACATTTTCCCCCACTAAGGTCATTACGACCCTCCTCGCTCCAGCGACCAAAGACGACCCCCACCCCATCGTGGGGTTTACCGACGTGCCCTGTACCTCAATGGATGACTCACCTGGCCTGACCCTGTGTCGAACGACAGTATAAGGCGACCATTGAGCAGGAACAGTCCAATATGATCAGTATGTTTGTCGTTTGTCGCGAACATAATCACTCCATTGAAGGCGGTAGGACGAATTTGGAGCGAGAATGTGCCACTGAAAGTGGTTAGCTTACTTGACCATTGACATCTGAAATTAGGCTTAAGCTTACCTCTTGTCGAATGAGTCTGGCATGACTTCGTACTCCAAGCGACTATTTGGCTGCAGACCAAACCTTGTTCCGTCCACTTCATCCATCGGTGGCCGAGGATCCAGTCCTAGTGCACAAGCTCCGTCGGGGACAGGCTGAAAATCGAATGAAGTAGTT